AACTCTGTAGACCGTAATATGCTGAGGAATATATACGAAGTAGAATATGTATTTCATCGACCTCAGTATCATTCGACCATATGGAGCCAAATCTCAGGCCAGTATATCTCCACTTGGGTGCTTTTAAACGCAACTCAGTTTCGTAAATGTGGCATTCAGCTTAGCAACCAATCAGAATAATAATAATTTATTCTCAAATAACAGTTTGTTACTTGAGGCATGCCAGTTTACAGGCAAGATCAAATTGATAGGAATGATACAATATCCACTGTAGTAAATTACATGGCTGGGTTGATAATTTATAAGATATGAATGTAGATGGTTTTTATCAGTACCACAGTTGGCGCGCTTCATGAAAATTGCGTTGCGAATGTGCGACTGATGGTCAATGATAGGTTTATTGAAGGTATGAGCTTTTAGAAATCGCAACCTTATGTCCCTTTGGGATATCCAAGGCTTTAAGGATGGTGCAGGATGAAGTCACCAGTTGCATATCTCAAGGGGGCTGTAAGAGGGAGCAAGTAAAAGAAAACACCAGAGGCAGAGCAGCCAATATTCATGAAGGAATGTTTAAGGTATGATTACTCAGTCTAATTTTCCTTTAAGGTATATGTTAAGAAAGAGCATTTTAATAGGTTAAAGAAAATAAGTGTTAACAAGGTATGAGTGGACATACAACTGACAAATAAAGGGGATTCAGAAAGAAGCTGAGAGTATGGGATTATGTGTGGTTGTAATAGGATTTCTGGGTAGGAATTGAAGCTATTAGAGCCCCTATCGTTTTTTAAAATAATATTTTCCCCACCAGTTATTATAGGGTCTTGATTAGGCTTCGTATATTAGCGAATTGTCTAGTTTGCTTGTAATAGGATTTCTGGGTAGGAAGTGAAACCAATTCAACGTTCGTAACACAATTTAATGAGGCATTTTGCACGATAAATTAGCATTAAAACCTTAAGTTCGTGACATCTCACTAAACCATAAGGAGCCGTAATTAAACAAAATGTTCTGAGGCGGGAATTATTATATCCGCCATCTTTGTAAGCAATGGCGATCGGCTTTCTTCGTTCTGTTCTTTTTTCAGCTATTTCTCTTGCGTAGCTACGTAATTTAATGATTCAGTGTGCTAAAATACCGCAGTTAGTTTAATGTTCTATATGTTGATGTGAAATTTATTTCGAGTCAGCATTTTTTTTCTGGGCATTTGTTGCTTCTACTCAAGTCAATGTATTTCTCCAGCCAAGCTGGCTAGTCTTGTGTTATAAAATGTGTGCATATAAGCAACGGCACTTGCCGTTTGTTTAAAACATGTCGAATTCCATGTAAGCTCATGGTTTTTACTCATCTACAAATGCCAGAGTTCATAGGTATGTTAAGTTCATCTTTGTATCACGAAGTAGTTGATCTAGTTTTGACGCTGTGTCGCAGATGGACTTGGACAGCCTGTGGAAATGTAGATGTAAATATACAAGCTATTTCATCTCCAGATTATACTGAAACGAAAAGGCTGTATCGCATTCTACGCAATAAAATCCACACACTCAGTACACTTTTCGTGCCAATAGGTAACCCTCGTGCTATTGATAGAAGAAACCAGACAAGTAGTGAATAGGTCTTTATTTCGATCTTAGCGCAGTCACAGTGGAGCGTGGGATTATCTGTTCAGACAAACAAGAGGCTTTCAACATTCAATATAAGATAATACGGAATATAATGCTTATACAAAATAAGGAAGTGAATTAGTACTTGAACAATACTGTTTTGGCATATGCTTGGTTGTTTGGGGTCAACTCTTGACCAACCAACCTATGCTGTTACACACTTTTCGGACAGACGACGGTGAAGGTACACTAAGCCAATTGATAGATCAAGTTGATGAATTAATACGCATGAGGCGTCTGCCTACAGATTCCGAACATAGTAAGTCCACTGGTTCTTTGGAAATCAAAATCAAAATATTTATAAATGCATCTATTAAGCTAATATTCGTACTCTCTATTTCATATACTCAATGAACACAAATCGCGTCATGTGTGTCTGCTGCGTTGCCAGTTTTTGATAATACCTTATTAAATAAAAGTCTTATATTCACTAAATACAGAGTTTCTTGCTATGCTTGGTATAAAGGGGTGAAAACATTTAATGGGCCTGTAGTTGTGATTAGGCAGGCGCGTAATCTCACGTTGCTAATGACCCGTAATTTAGCCTAAGGTACTGATTGCAACTCCAACGGCATCCCAGTAAACAGCTATGGCTTAAACGCGTACCTGTCAACGTACTAGTACAACACGTCATGGCGGCTAAAATAGGTTATAAGAAAGCCCGGAATCGGGGGTTTCTCACTGCCTGCTTATCATATGGTATTTGAATAAGAAAGTATGATTGGAGACAGCGACGGTTGGGATGTGTAACGCGTGTCCATCCATCAACTGCTGTGACTTAAATTTACCACACACCAACCAGATGGTCAGAGGCTCGCGTTTCAAAAGCTTTTTATAACGGATAACTATATAAAACGAAATAACATCAGGTTTACAAATTTATTCAGGGATTTTAATTAACAATGGAATATGAAACAAAGTTCTACACCACGTTACCAACTAAATTGTTGCGTTGGTAATGTTAATCTGCTGTATCTGTTGTTTTTTTCGAACGAAAGGGTATAAGAAGTAACTCGAAAATACTGGAAGTGAATGTCCGACATGCTTATAATAATCTGCTGTTAGGTGGATCTCCTATAAAGTTTAATGGGGCCATAATTCTAAAGGTGAAACACTATAACATCTGTGACGGCTCACTCCTGTTATATTCGAAATAAAAGATAGTAATGGATTTAGTTAAGAATGTTGAAAAGGCGAATAAACACATTAGGTGTTTCTAAGGAAAGAATTTATGCAGCTGTGACTTATCTCGACTTCATGAATATCAAATCACGCCAGCTACTACAACTTGTGCAAAGCACATCATCGCACAGCTTTTATTATCTCGCTCCCATTTAGGTATTCCCATGCATCTGCGTCAGTTTTTACAGGAAGATATGCAAGTTGATTTAGTGTCTGGTAAACTAAAAGTCCCAGTTGTCAAAAAGACTCATAACATTCGTCCACAGCCAGCAGCATTTAATTAAGACAGAATACTCCTCATCTTAGACCGTTTACTCCTGTATTGCAGGCAAATAAAAGCTCAGACACTTAACTATCCTGCTACAGATGTTATTGATGGGGAAATTGTTTAATGACAATAGACTTGAAATATGGACAGTGTTAGAGGTAATATCTACAAATAAACACCAAACGTACATAGAACTGTGGTGGACCAGACGATATATAAACGCAAAACGTATCAACAAAGTTAACAAAAATCAATAGTAACGTTAATATATATAAGTTAATTATTACAAATACAATACAAGGTTGGAACTTTACTTAAGTTTACCAAATTGATGCCTGTTCAGCTTTAGTCTGGTACGGTAAACCCACAATTATAAATGCTTGGTAATTCCAATCGGGTTGACGAACTCTCCAGGTATATAATCCAACGTAGGATGTGATATATTCCAATTACAGTCTATAAATGTAGATAGTATTTGATTTAGACTTCAGTTAACTCAATCACAAACGAAGATAGAACGAGGAATGTGTGAGTATTAGTGAATTTGTTAGCCAGCAAGAGTTTGTCACGCTATGTCAGTATCACAACTGAAAGTGTGTTCAAGGTCATTTACTAAAACAACAGTTACAGTCATTTAATGTTAAATATACACACAGTGAGAGGTTGACAAAAGAAATACAAATAATAATAAAAACTATTTACAAAATGAGCTTGTCAGTTATATCTCTACAAAGCTATCTTATAATATATGACAGCATCAATACCAAAGGCACTTTTTTCCTATTTTTAATCAGACTGATTTCAATCACTATACTCATTAAAAACAGACAGTTTCACTCACTAAACTGATCCCTTTCTTTACAGACTTTAAGCACAACACTTAAGTATATTATAATTACATAAACTAATCAATTATACGGCAACCAAGAATACTAAACCAAGCAAGTGTCATAATCATTGTTCCATTTGCACAGACATGTTGCTAAACGGATTAAAATGAACATAATTCAGCTGATAGAAACAAAACACGAAATATAGGTCAATGGGACTTACCTAAGAGAAGACAAAGGATATATATTGCTTTGAGACTGAAGACAACATTCAGTTGTTCATTAAAAAAACATAGTTCACACAACAACCAACCTTTCTTCAGTAACATCATGCACTGACAGTCCATCTGGAAACAATCATCTATGTGATTAAATTCACTATTACTTGAGATACCAATACAGCGTGCAATGAACGTACAGTGTAACGCAGTCGGACGTGGCGAATATAAATTAAAAACAGAGCAGAATTAACAACATAATCTAGTTATTTAATTAAAAATACATTATGAAATGACAAAATCTGTGGTTTTTTGAACGCACAGATGACCCTGGGCGATACATTAAGTTTACATGGTTGCGTTGTGGATAAATTCACCTCTCTTCTTTCTGATGGATGGGTAATCATATAATGTATTTGTATGTACTTGAGAATAAGTAATAACAGTAGAGTCAATGATTCGTATAGTTTCAAGTGGTTTCGGGCTGAATTAAGGAAACTTTTGTCAAGCAAATTTATCTAGTAGAAACTAACAATCAATACTTCATGTACAGGGCCAGGTATTATGAAAAACAAGCCAAAATCAAAAAGTCCTATGATTAGTAAAATATTTCTGAGCTCCAACCAAGCCATTTTCTAATGTGAATCCTGTCCACTCCAAATTATATTTAAATCGTTTTCTGACAGTTGTTCCTGTACATAGGAGATGTTGAACATCACTATGCGCAATGTTCGAAGCAGGCGCTACGTTACTGTTTGAAAACGCCTATGGAGTCCATCGCGTATCTGGTTTTTATATTTTATAAATTTCTGCTCACGAAGCAGAACAACATACTTTGGTTATGTTGCACCTGAGGATTGTGGCTATCACAGTATTTTTACTTGTGACTGCTACCAGACAAGATGATGATATAGGTAAGTCCATTTGTTCTCGTATTTCACAAATTCCGAACAATACAATATTTTACTACATTTATTTCTAAGACTTTTTTAGAGTGCAGTACAAGAGCGGTTTAATTTCTCGCGACGGAAATCTCATGTTTTTTACAAGATAGTCGCTTGATCTTCTATCTTTAAATTTAAGGTAGATGTTATTTGTTCCTTAAAACGACATGACCAGATTTAGACTAACGGATTGCAGTTTAGTTGGGCATTTAAAGTATGATGTTTATTCTGTATTATGATCACAGATATACTTGAGTAGTTTGTCGTTATGCTGACAATTTTAAAATAAAATTTGCTTAATATCATTTACTCGTTATTGAATACTGTTAAGCACTGACACGTTTGTACAGGTTGATATTTTGGTTTCTGCAAATAAATTTTCGGAAACGTATCTTTAGTTTTCAAGTAGTAGAAGCTTTGAATCGATCTAAGTAGCTCCGGTTATGTCCTTAAGCAAAACTTATTTAATATAAGATTCCTTATTTCAAGGCATAGTTGTGTCTTATCAAATTTGTGGTAAAGCAGAATAGATGCATACTTCGAAACAAAATGTAACGAAATTGTGTTTTCTTTTGCTATCACTAGCACTACACATCTGGGAATTTCCTGTTCTCAATAAAGTTCAATTTGGATTTAGAGTTGGCCGCTGTCAGTAGTTTTCGTTAATACTAATTTCAAATACACTGACAATCAAGGTATCTCAACCACGCAATACTGAGGTCTCATTTTGTGTGGAAAACTGTAACCATGATCCCTAGCTTACGCCCGTTACTCCTCGAGGACGAGCATAGGCCGCTCACCAGCATTCTTAATCCAACCCTGTCCTGGGCAATCCTTTCCAGTTCCTTCCAGTCCCTATTCATCCTTTTCAGATCTGCTTCTATTTCTCGGTGTATTGTGTTCTTTGGCCTCCCTCTTTTCCGCCTCCCTTCAGGATTCCAATTTAGTGCTTGTCTCGTGATGCAGTTTGACGATTTGCGTAATGTATGTCCTATCCATTTCCATCATCTTTTCCTAATTTCTTCAACTGGAAGCTGATTTGTTCTCTCCCAGAGAAGGCTGTTGCTAATGGTATTTATTTATTTATTTCAACACATAGATATTGGTACAAGGAGGCACCAAATACATATGCGCCACACAAATCTCATTTGATATGTGTGAGGGCTGTGATACTGCCGGGTGCCCAAACCGAAGCAGGTGGTTTTCTTAGGGGGCCACACCCCGGCTGATAGTATTTGGCCATTGGATGTTGATTATCTTGCGTAGACAGCTATTTATAAATACTTGTACCTTCTTGATGGTTCTTGTTGTAGTTCTTCAAGTTTCAACTCCATACAGTAGAACTGCCTTTGATATTGGTTGAAAGTTGTTTTGAGTTCCATATGTTCTTTAATTGTAGGAATACGACCCTTGCTTTGCCAATCGTCGCCTCTATCTCTGCATCTGATCCTCCTTGTTGATCGATGATGCTTCCCAGGTCAGTCAGTCAGTCAGACAGTCAGTCAGTCAGTCAGTCAGCTACAACGTAGGACCAGGCACATGTGTGCATCGGTCCAGGTTGCCATACCGCATCAGCACAACAAGATGAACACCGGATTCATAGGAGTGGTTAGGTAAAAGGTGGTAATATATAGGAGAAAGATTGCATATAAGGATATAGTATAGGAAGAAAGAATTAGTTCGTAGAAAGATATGAAGAGATTTTAATCCTATAGTTTAAGGGAAGACAAAGAATGGATACACCTACGCCAACGTGATCGATTCTAAGCCATGTCACCAAAAGTCTCCAACCATTGGTTACGATAGTCACGCGGACCCCAAACAAGTAGTCTGCATCTACCAACATTGCTCAGACTAGAAGTTAGTGACTTCAAGCACTGATGCCACGTTTTGGTTTGGCCGCCCCTAACTTTCTTCCAACTATTTCCAATACCGGATAGCATTGCACGTCGTGGTAATCGGTGTTCAGGCATATGTAACACGTTGCCCAACCATCTCAGTCGATGAAGATTCATAACCTCGTCAACTGATTTACCATCATTTCCTAATACCCTGCGTCTAACCTCACTATTACTTACCCGGTGATCCCAACAGACGCCAGCAATATTTCTAAGGCATCTGTGGTCAAATACTAGTAGCTTACGGATGTCTTCTACTCTTAAAGGCCATGTTTCGCTGCCGTAAAGTAAGACAGAATGGACTGCCGCGCAGTATACTCGTCCTCTTATTGATAAACAGATATCTCACCTTCGCCAAAGGTGACGTAAGTTGGCAAAAACCAAACGAGCTTTTCGAATCCGTGCTGAGATTTCGTCCGATACCAACCCATTAGGGCTGATCAGACTTCCAAGATAAGTGAAGTTATCAACGCGTTCGACTACTTCACTCCCTATCCTTAGTTCAGGTGTTAACGCAGACCAGTCCTGAAGCAACAACTTGCATTTAGATGGAGAGAAGCGCATTCCAAACATCCTGGCATTGTTGCTCAGTGCTACCAGAAGACTCTGCATTTTGTCAGCGTCTTCACCAAACAGGACTATGTCATCTGCGTATTCTAAGTCGATAAGTGAACCTCCTGGATGGAGATCAATACCCGAGAACTCAGTCGACGAGAAAGTTATTTTCATCAGTAGATCTATGATGAAGTTAAACAAAAATGGGGAAAGTGGACATCCTTGACGGACACCACTTGAGGTTGCAAAAGTAGATGACAGTTCACCATAAGCTCTCACTCGACTAGTAGTGTTCGAGTAAAGAGCCTTTACAATGTTTATGTACTTCTGGGGTACGCCTTTCAATGACAGACACTGCCACAGAATCTCGCGGTCTACCGAGTCAAATGCTGCTTTTAAGTCAAGAAAGACCACCATTGTCGGACGCCGATAAGTATGCCTGTGTTCTAGAACCTGACGAATGGTGAATATGTGGTCGATGCAGCCACGACCAGGTCTGAAGCCAGCTTGGTTTTCTCGTGTTTGCTTCCCAGGTATGTGAAGGGAGCTACATCTGCCAGAGTTTCTCCATCAAGAGTGATTGTATTGCTGTTCTACGTGTTGTATTTGAGAACCTTTGTTCTCCTTTTGTGTATGTTGAGGCCTACTGATACAGAGACTGCTGCTACACTGACTGTCTTTATCTGCATTTGTTCGTGTGTATGCGATAGGAGGGTTTGGTCATCTGCGAAGTCCAAATCGTCTAATTGATTCTGAGCTGTTCATTGTATTCCATGTTTTCCTTCAGATTTCGAGGTCTTCATAATCCAGTCGACCACCAGAAGAAAAAGGAAGGGAGAGAGTAAACGGCCTTGTCTGACTCCGGTCCTTACTTGGAATGCATCTGTCAGCTGTCCTCGATGCACGACTTTGCACTGTAGTCCGTCGTATGAGTTCCGGATAATATTGACAATCTTCTAAGGAACTCTGTAGTGTCGAAGAAGCTTCCATAATGTCCTCCTATCTACACTGTCAATTGTTTTTTCATAATCAATGAAGTTGATGTATAGTGACGAGTTCCACCCAACTGATTGTTCAACGATGATCCGTAGTGTTGCAATTTACAGAATCCAGCTTGTTGATCTCTGAGTTGGACATCTACTGCATCTTTCATCCTCTTCAACAACACTGTTAAAGACTTTCCCTGGTACTGACAGTAGTTTGATGCCTCTGTAGTTTTCACATTTGCTCAGATCTCCTTTCTTTTGAATCTTGACGAGGTGTCCTTCTTACCAGTCCATCGGCACTTGTTCCTCCTCCCAAATCTTTTTGAATAGAAGGTAAAGCATGTTTGTAGTTACTCCGATGTCTGATTTCAGTGCTTCAGCTGGTATGTTGTCGGGTCCCGCTGCTTTCCCGTTCTTGATTTGTCTGACGGCCATTCTGATTTCTTCCTTCGTTGGTGGGTTGACGTCTAATGGAAGATCTGTGTGTGCTGCTTCGATGTCCGGTGGATTCGTTGGAGACGGCCTATTCAGGAGTTCCTCGAAGTATTCTACCCATCTATTCCGCTGTTGTTGAATTTCAGTGATTGGCTTGCCTTCTTTGTATTTGACCGGTCTCTCTGGTTTGCTGTATTTCCCTGATAGTTTCTTCGTTGTGTCGTAAAGCTGTTTCATATTTCCTTCTCTAGCAGCTTTTTCTGCCGTCATTGCTAGTTCTTCCACGTATTTCTTCTTGTCGACTCTAATGCTCCTCTTCACTTGCTTGTTTGCTTCTGTGTATTCAGCTTGTGCTTGGACTTTCTCTGCTCGTGAGGCACCTGGGATATTGAGGGATCTGATGCTCGTTGTGGAATTCGAACTCAAACTGCATTCGGTATTGTTTCCAATCTGTTTTTTTTCAATCTCACTAATTTCTCACTATGCTAACATGTGTGGCAACTTGAAATTACTCAGTAGTGCCTGCTCCTATGTTGATGTTGACTGAACAACGATTCAAGCTAGTGACTCACTGTTAGTTAAAACATGAATGTTTTAGCTAACAGCGCCAAATATTCACTTTCAGTCGATTAACTATTGGATGATACGCCACAATGGATTAATGTTTAATCGTCACTTTTTTCATCGATCTAATTAGGTACTGTTTTTCTTTATAAAAATGTTAGAGAAAAGCTTAAACTTGTATCTTCCTTACTGATTTTTAGGTTACTTTTGGCATTTAAGTGATATTCACTGTGATTTAAAATATGTAAATAAATCATGTAATCTTCCATATGGTAATTATTCTTGTGATTCTCCACTCGAACTCGCTTTAAATGCAATCAATGCAACTAGAATGTTATTTGCTAAAACACCAGATTTCGTTATTTGGAGCGGGTAAGTCAATTCATATGTATACATTCATAGTAATTGACCTTTTTTCCATATTAGTTATGCAATTATGATTATTATTTGTTCGTGATGTTGTCATACGTTCTTATGAGAATTATTGTTTGTGTTGATTACCACAGACTAAATTTTATGTAAAAAATTGTACTACGACTCTTTTGTATACAGCTCTCTAAAAGCTTCTCTTTCCAACTTCAATTTATCAGATACAGATCTCAATTAATTACATGTATTGTATGATCAAAACACATTATTATTAATGGCCTTATTCAATATATGTTTGGTAGAATATAGAAGTCTCAGCATAAACTATTTCAACAAGTTTCTTTAACAAACCAAAACAAAACAAAAATACAATAACTGTATACATATATACATAAATTAAGTAAATTATCTGAAATTAAGTGAAATGTTTTTTTTTCTCAATACAATTAGAATCTGTACAACTTTATATAAGAAGCATGTTTAAGAATAGAAGTTATTAACTAGGTCAACTCTAACAACCTGTTCATCACATAGAATATTTGCTAAATAAGTTATTGTTGAGCTCTCATTATCTTTCCTCGAGTGCATACATTCTTATATATTAGCGCGTCGTTTTACCAGAAGATATACAATAAGAGGTATAAATGAAGTAGATGATTAATATCTAATAAGATAACGATTACTAAGAGTTTGGAAGATTTTAAATATCTATTCATAACCATACTGATAATGATCTCGACAGATTGACCACACCTCCTGCTAACTGCTTTCAGCACTTACTGCAATAAAGCAAAGTTTTTTTTCTGAAAAGCCTGGTAAAGAATAATGGAGGAAAGTAACGAATATTATGTAATATACGAGAATTAACAAATCGTAAAAATAAGTGTCAAGTATTGCCAAAACCGTACAGTTTTTTCTTGTCGTAAGTCAGACGAAAAACTTTCTTCGTTAACAATAAAATATTAGGAGACCAAGAGAAATTAGAAGAAAAAGTTACACCAAAATGAATAACCTCTGATATTATTGTTATTAAATAATCTTCGACGGTACAAGCTTTATGGGATTCCATAGTACGCAAACGATAAAATATCGGTAGGTCATCGGTAAACAAAATCTTGTAAATGAAAAAAAAATACTGCTGTTATAAACAATTTATGGCAAAATGGTAGTTTGTTTATTGAGCGTAAAGATGTTCAGTCAGTAATATTTAGAAAATTTCCTAAATCATCAAGAGCTGATATTAGTTAAAATACTAAAATTCAGGTCACAGGTTTGAACATCGCCTCATCTACTTCGAGGCAGGTCGTCAGGTAGAGTCGCTATCACATGAAAATTATGACTAATATTAATACATAAAGTGTCAGTCAATTAATTGATAAGTTTCTAAGAGCGAATTGATCCAGACAACTGGTGCCGATAAATGCACTATGCTAAACGGAACCAACATCGATTCAATCCACTATACTTTTGTCTAATCAGTATACTAGATGAAACCCATGACTAGAAACAAACTGATTGAAATGTGATTCATAGATGCATAAAGTCAGAATGTATCGAATTATAACGACTAAAAATACCATGGTCAGTAGGAAGTATAGATTTTTTTTGTTTTATTATTTGTACGGAAATATATATTCAACAACAATAATAGCACTGAAAATTTATCTATCAAACTGGATCGTTCAGTAGGTGATATGTAAACAGAGGATATTTTCTTACAAATATTTGTTAGTTAGATTCAATGTAGTGCATGGCAAAAATGTCCATCATTCACAGTTACACCATTTTAATACATACAGACAATATTAACATGACAAGTAGCGAAATTCGGAATGATTATAGTACTGTCGATGATTAGTGAGAAAGACTAGAACTAGGAAGTTTGGTCTTTAAAGGAGGAACAAAATTGAAGAATAATAGCTGTGAAACCATGTCGAATTCGGGATCTACAAGGGAAAAGAAACATGCGCATGGACTACGCCGACTGACAACCATTTTTCACTAATCCCGATCAACTAGTCGGAATTGTTTACCGAACATCGCTTCTTTAACCATGTGATTCATCTTTACCAAAGTGGGTTCGTCAAACTGTCAAAAACATCGTTAACTGACGCCGATTATTAGTTTAACTGTCCTTACGCTTCCTCCAACGTACTCCTACGCATCTGCTTCAGTTGGTAAGGATTCGTTGAATCATCAACTAATTCTTTTTGTAAGAAATGTCACGTTTTTTATTTTGTTGCTCTAAATTATTTATCCGTTGTCCTAGGAAATCATCAGAAACTGGTCACCATGATGGAAATCAGGAGTGAGGCGATGTAATCAAACTAGATTATGATTTGTGTGTATTTGCGTATCCGATACTTAAAACTCCGTTCCTGTGCATTCAACTATTACTTATACACATATTAATATAATGGATTATGCAAATTTGATGTCTAGAAAATATTGTATAGTGTGTGGATTATATTCTATCACTATCGGGTTTACTGTTTATGTCATCAACTGTATATATTCACATGTTTCCAGAATATATTCACTCTGATTTCGATTAATATGTTAGTCTTATTAAACTCAACCTACAAATCTCGTCTTTTTGATGAGGTTAGGGATTGTTCTCTTTTTTATCTGCTAATTATGCTTCATTCAAACATAACTGGTTATTTGACAGAAGAAAGTGGATTTATTAATGAAAATTGTTCAAATTTTCGTCTTCAGTACAAATATGACTAGAGTAGAAAAAATGCCACATAATGGCTTTGTAACTATAAGAATTGTGGCTTAATGTAGTGACCTTTTTGTGGATCGAAGATAGGCGTAGGTTATCAATATTATAGAAAAGATGTTTTTAAAGCACCGATGATAACGGTGAGTTATGTTAGATGTAGGATACTAGTTAGAGAATAGTAAACCGGATAATGTTAGCTATCCCTGTAATGGAAAGAATGCTTTGAAAATTTATCCAGAGCATTTTATTGAACAGTACTGTCATTTATTTGTTTCTTCTCTTTGTTGTAAATCTTCAGCTTCATTCGGTTCCCTTGTTAATCACACTTTATGTTCTTCAGTCTTCCTTGTTCAGTCTTTTGTTATTTGATCGTGGTTAAAGATATATCTTTTATTATGTAATATACTGTTGCGCGTTGCCGGACTATTGATAATAAGGTCGCGTTTGACTAAACTCATGGTCAAGGTGTGCTTCAGTGTATGACTTATCCTCTGTCTACTTGTAAAGCTTGCTCGAATCTTTGCAGATAGATATCTGACCTCATCTTTTTAGAAATATTTTTTTTGATTCACAGGTATCGAACCTTTGTTTACTAAGTATTCCTTTTTTTGTTTGCCATGTTACTTTGTGTTAGAGAAACTCTTGACTGTATAGCACAGGCTGTACTGTTTGAGGTGTTTTGTATATTTGATATAATTTACTGTCTTTATTAAATTGGGACCATTTAGATTGAACGTTGAGTTTGTGTTTTAGTGTGATTTAATACGAGTCACTCAAAACGCATTGTATGCTATACAGAAGAACGTAGTTTGGTCTAACTGGGTAAATTTTATTTCTTCAGTTCTGCGTTCAAACGAAATATTGGTATTTCGGTCGTTGCAACCACTTTATACCTATTGATATGTAGATATGTAGATCGGTGTATGATGTCTAGGGTCAACTAAATAAACAGATAGATTCAGTTCATGGTATCAGAAACGGAATACTAATTGATAGCAGTCTTCAATTATAGTGTAATGTACTGTTCCAATTAAGAACCAGTGAACGTATTAGAGAATCCTACTTATGGAAGATCGTGTTAACGGCGAGACTATAATTTATGGACAAGCCAGTTAGAAGCATTTGGGGGATTTCAAGGTCACGGCGCCAATTTTAGTACCTGATGCTCATGTACGATCGGTTTGCAGCAGATTTTAGAGATGTGATTGAGCAGCTACAACAGATGGGACCACCAAGAAGCAGAAATTTAACAGAGGACGTACTATTAAGGAAGACTGGGTAAGTAGCACTTCCATAAATATACCTCACAGGTACTTGGGATTCACGACAGATCAACCCAAAAGGGCCACTTCCAAAAGGTCAGAAACCGATAAACAACGATAATAATACCAATTATACGGGAATACGTTCAGCTGCGTTCCACAGTATATACGGATGATTGGAGAGCCTACCGATGCCTGGCTAGACTTGGGTATGTGCATCATGTCGTTGTCCACAAGCGCCATTTTGTGGACCTTACAACAGGGGTGCACACTAACAATATTGAAGCTATGTGATCGAGGCTCTATCATGCCCCGAGAGGTCGACTATTATAAAGCCATTTAAATGAGTTCCTCTACTGTATGCACTAAGATTTCAGAACCTCTGAACCTCTTGCAAACTTTTATAAGTTTTGAACCATGTTATTACTATAATTATTAATTGAACACACAAATATTGGTACAAGGGGGCACCAAATACATATGCGCCACACAAATCTCATTTGGTTGTTGTGAGGGCTGTGATACTGCCTGGGTGCCCAAACCGAAGCAGGTGGTTTTCTTAGGGTGCCACACCCCGAGCCTTCGACTTAATGGTCTAATCTACTAGGCAGTGGAGCATCATAAGGAGAGTGAGTCCCATGGTAGCCGGTGGTTCATACGCTGTTTGTTCTCTCAGGATACTGGAGCCCATGTACATCATTGATTTGGAATGAAGGTTTTCCAGATCCCCTAGTTGAACTCACCGTGTCCACTAACCCGGTTAAAGCTCCGGACATTCGCTCTTTGTCCTCTCAATTTCGTAAACAACACCGGTTTTGCGAGAAGGCAGTGAGTAGTTCTTTCCTGGCAGAGGATATATACGCGTGACCATGTGAGAACATTTCGAGAGAGAGAGCGGACTCTCTCCAATCTCGGTCGTACCAGGGCATTTGGGGGCTTTTGAACCATGTAAAAGAAGTATATCCACTTTATTTTCTTGGTTTTGTACATTGTTTTTACTTCATACAAACTGTCTTCTGATTGGTTAATATTTCTCAAGGTCACTTAAGGTTCATTCTAAGGTCATCCATAAATTATAGGCTCTCCAGAATACGAAATCCATGTATTTTCTATTTGATCTGTAACAATATCATATTTCTCAAACAAAATGGTAGTTTATCTTTTGAATTGTAAATGTTGGCCCTAATTTTTTTGAACTATTGTATCTTTTACTATTCGCTTGTAATTGTCGTTATGATTTCGGACAAATCAAATGAAGCAGTGTCCAAGGTATACTACTAAGCAGTAGAATTATAACAAGATCTCATTTAATTTTGCATTATTTCCGTCTCGACTTTCTATTATTCCTCGTATCATTAATCTTGATCCTATCATTTTTGCTTTTGTGAATTCTAACACTTTAGATTGTTATGTACATTTATGTCGAGTTTGGTTATTGTAAAGTCGTCGTAAAACAATCAAATCTGTCTGTGAAAACCCTAGAGTACCTGATACATTTTCCACCATGTATTTTTAAATAAGGCTTATATGTCATCCATTAATCGTATTCTTTTGTTTCCAGGGATTCCAAAATTGATTCTAATTCAATTTAAAAAATGTTCTTGTAACACTTTGAAGGCAACCAAAGTTTGTGGTTATTTTCATGTTTTCTTCATTTTATCATTTGTTTCCTGACTACCCTCTAGTGATAATGGGCCACACGATGACAGTTTGACATCCGACCAACTTTTGGATGGCATCAGGTTAATAAGTAAAGCGTTGAAACAATCATTTCCAGTCGATGAAGTTTACATTCTACCTGTATTAGGTAATCATGATGTTGTGCCTGCAAATACTATGGAAATTACACCACAAAGTCGTTCACGTTTTGACTTGTGTCACAAACTTGGTAATGATGTAGATTTATGGGGTAAATGGATTAATCATCGACAAAAGAACCACTCATCATCATCACGTCCCTCTTCTTCTTCCTTCTCATCAGAAAATTCATTAGATTTTCCAATGGCTAATTTCTCACAAAGTAAGCTTTAATTCATTAAATTATGCTGTTGAATACTGTACATTTGAATGCATTTTCTATTTTTCGGTATCAATAAGTTACCAGATTATTCTGTTTTCTCAGGATAGTATGGATGAAGAAAGAAAGAAATAAGATAATATTTTATGAAACAACGGTTATCTGACTAATTTTCTCAAAAGTATTTCTCTAAACTGACAATTAGAGTATAAGCTGATATGATCAGTAAGAAAATAAACCTTTATCTATGAATCGATTTTAAAAGAGACATAATGAGCGATATCTTATCATATTAACTTAAAAGATCTGTTGAAAGAACATTTAAAACCGTCAAGTTTCATATTGTCTTTTCAACCAAAGTTTTGCTTATACAATGATGCCTATAATATCCTCCTCAACGTTTGCATTATCAATTCCTGTGAAGGTAGTTACATAAGCTGTACTAACAGAGAGAGGAAGAGAGAGTAGTAGTATCAGTGTTTGTGATTGCGAAATATATCGAACGTAGAGAAGAATATGGTGCGATATAAAGAAATGAAATTGAAGAAGGCAAAAGTAATATACAATAATAGTCAGTCTTGAAAGGTAGATTATGAATACAGTGGTCTTGAGCACTGATAGAGGTATGAGGGTGGTTATCACTTCCCTGTTGCCCACACCATGGAAAGGTTCTTCTGCAAGTATCTGAAAAGGGTCTTAGTGACATGAGAGCGTAATCGTCACACCTCTGTACAGTCAGCTGTACGACTTTGCCTTTGGACCTTGCGTTTGCTACTTTTAGTCTTATCATTCTTTAACTGACCTGTCTGGTGTAGTAGGACCTCGAGGAAAGATTGTTTCACCAGTATAGCTCGATTGCTTCATCACGATAGACAATCACGACCACATGTCAAGGTAACAACAGCGATCGGGATACAATAATAGTGAGTGCGTCTGTATCAATGTGATTAATCCCTAATAATATCACTTATCATCTCATCTCAAAACCTATTAATCTAGTAATTGTAAAATAGGAAGTATGAATTCAAATAGTTACTAGTGTAATCAGTATAAGATTTAAAGGTCAAAGATATTACATCACTATCAGGTTTTAGTATTGTTATCCTAATTTGAATATGTGTTAAAGAATAGATTTTGTTCAACGTCATACTCAAGGTATTTATCAATGATTTCATGGAATGCAAATAGTTGTCATTTATTTACATAGTAACATTTTTGTAATTGAAATAAGATTAAATCTTTTAAAAAAAATTATTTAATATTTTGGTTTGTTCCGAGTTCATCTATCACATCATTATGGAATATTTGAATTAAATCATTCCCGTTATTTTGATTCATTTTTAACTTTAGTCTCTATTGATCTCTATAGTTGTTTTATCTGTCTAAAGTATCTCATTTATTATGATCACATAGATACTTATTTTATTTGTGATTATAGTATTCTTTGAGCTAAAAATAGTTTGATTCTAATGCTTTCATTGTTATCCTAGACAATATATCTTCCTTTGAACTTCAGTTTGGCTTTTGCCAACTCGCGTCACCTATCGCGAAGGCGAGATATTCGTCTATCAATTAAGGGATGAGTATAATGCGCGGTAGTTTGTTCTGTTTTACTTTACGGCTGAGAAATGTAGCCATTAATAGTAGAAGATATTCGTAAACTACTAGTATTTGACCCCCAAATGCCCTGGTATGGCTGAGAGTGGGGTGGGTTCGCCCATCCTCTCGAAATGCTCTCACACGGCCACGCGTATACAGCCTCTGCCAGGGAAGTCCTACTCACTGCTTTCTCATGGCGTGGATGTTGTTTACGAAATTGAGAGGACGAAAAGCGAATGTCCGGCGCTTTAACCGGATTCCAAACCAACGGTTCACATGGGCTCCAGTATCCTGCGGGAACGAATGGCGTATGAACCAATCGTTGGTCACCGGCTACCATGGGAATGCATCTCCTCCCGATGCTCCACTGCCTTGTGGGTCAGACCTTTAGGTCAAAGGCTCGGGGTGTGGTCCCCTAAGAAAACCACCTGCTTCGGCCTGGGCACCCGGACAGTATCACAGCCCACACACAAATATGGTGTGGCGCATATTTATTTGGTGCCCTCTTGTACCAATATTATGTGTTGAAATAAATAAATAAATAAAAACATCTGCTCCGATCACCGGATAAGTAATAGTGAGGTTAAACGTAGGGTATTGGGGAATGATGTTAAATAAATTGGTTAGGTTGTTAATCTTCATCGACTGAGATGGTTGGGTCACGTGTTACGTATGTCTGAACACCGATTACCACGACACGGAATGCTGACTAGTGTTGGGGATGGTTGGAAGAAAGTTAGGGGTGGTCAAACCAAATCGTGGCATCAGTGCTTGAAGTCACTAAATTCCAGTCTGAACCATGTTGGTAGATGCGGACTACTTGGTTGACGTCTACATGACTATCGTAACCAATGCTTGGTGACTGTAGATGACATGGCTCAGAATCGATCATAATGGCGTAGGTGTATACACTCTCTATATCGCTTTGAACTATGAGATTAAAATCGCTTCATAACTTTCTTTCTACCAACTAACTCTTTCCACATGTACGATATCTTTATATGCAATCTTTCTTTTATATATTACTAGCATTGAAAAAACTACTTATATGAATCGGGTATTCATCTTGTTGTGGTAATGTGGTGTGACAACTTTGACCGATGCACATATATACGTGGTCCTACGTTGTAGCTGATTGACTAATTTGAACTTCAACTCTGCATTACACTATTGTTTATTTTGTTCGATGCTAAACACTAAGATATGTTCGTTATTCATTCGATAGTGAGTGCATCGATAGCAGTCAAATATGTGTAGACGTGTTTACTATTCATAGTATTAATTACTTATTAACTGACTGACTTACAGTGCTCAATTTAAAAAAGGGTGATAGATATATTCCATGCTTATCACTGGATTACTATTTCTCGTTTGATTCTGTTTCATTTTTATTTATTTATTTAAACACACTAACATAAGTACAAGAAGGCACTAAGTAGATATGCAACACTTAAATCATTCGATTTGTGTGAGGGCTAGGATACTGCTCGGGTGTCGAAACTGAAGCAGGTGGTTTTCTTCAGGGGATCATACCCGGAGCCTTTGACCTAAATGTCTAATCCACAAGACAGGGGAGCAACGTAAAGGGATGCAGTCCTATGGTAGCCGGTGACCAACAATAAAGCAAATGGTTTTGATTTCTATCAATACGCCTAATATTTGTTAGAACTGTTGGGTTTCAACTGATCGGTTAAAATTTCCAATCCTGTCTTTTATCTTCTTTTCTTTGAGATTTCACAATTAGAGTATATGGCCTACATGAGAAACATTAGGAAATCATACTTGATAAATGGGCTATAACATAACTTCAGTTAGAATCTGTAACTCCCTACGATTGTTGCTACCGTGACGTGGTGGTTGGACTTTCATAATGTGATGACTTAATCGAGCTGTATTGATTGGAACATTCATTAATTTAGGTCCTAAAACGATAACCAGTTTGGTTGGACAGCAAGAAGACTAATGGTAATCACCTGAATTTCAAGAACGAAGCTGTACTGCCGATTGTATGAGTGTGTGACGACAGTAATATGTTTCCCTCATACATTCAGCAGCGATACTCTCTCTACACAATGGAAAAATGTGGGTATGGTAATTTGGATCGATGCCTATATATGCTTAGTCCTACGTTGTAGTTAACTAACTGACTGACTTAATGTAAATTATATAAAAACCTTCTTTTGACCTAATATAAATTGATCATAACTAAATAAATGACCATATAGTGTTTATATTTATTTATATAAAAATGTGATCATCTTGTGATAATTAATTTTTCTAACATAGAAAAATATAATTCGAGTTCTATAATGAACTTTATCCAACTTTTGTTGATCTATCTATTTTTCATACGTCTCATAATGTGCATTAATCACATGACTGGTCACATTAAAAGTACTACTCTAGCACAAGTGATAATGGGGGGGGGAGATAGTAACGGGGGATTGAAAAAAAAAGGTTTTCTATTTAAATCTTTTAAAAAAACACAACTAATATATATGGATAGTGACTAACAACAGAATCCAGAAAGAATATTACATTATATTTTATGACTTGTTAGCTGGATTTGCGTATATCGTAGTATTGATGTTCACACGAGGACTTGAGCTTAATATTTTTCAATTGAAACATCAACACATTATTCACTGTGCTACTGATTTCAGATAGATAGGTATCTCTAGTTAACGATCTTCAAGTGAGAAATAAAGTTCATATCCTGGATTTCTTCGCTTATGGGTTATTGAGATTAAACAAGAAGTTACAACTAAATTAGCCATATCAACAGAATCCTTTCAGGATGTACATTCACCAATAGTGATGGGTCAGTTGGAATCCTTAACATCTACTGTGAGAAATGCGACTCCTTAAACATCATATATATTATTGAAAATGACTCAAGTTATAGGATAATTTTAAGTAAACGGAATTCACTCATTAAGACATTGAATAAGAAAGATTAGTTCAGCGAAGAGTTCTCTTTTTCAAAGTTGTACAATCGTAAATATGGATACTTATGTTTTCAAGATAATAATAAACTTCTGTTAGACATGGTGACAGTGAGGTTAAATAAACAAAGGTATGAAAATATTTAAAACAAGGAAAGTTCAATAATTGTTCGCACTGAATAGCTTACATATTCATCAAAAGATAGATAGGGCAATTATCATTGGGAAAGGATGACTCACTATGATAAGATAAAATGTTTAAATTGAGATTAAATGTAATCAGGAGGATCGTAGAAACAGAGATAAACCAGTTGGGGGTTAGAAGATTTAAGGGGAAGATGAAAGGTGAAGCAGATGGCTGTAAATGAAGAGGAGTACAAAAAAGAGAAAAAAAATTATAAGACATTAAGACCATGGTAGAATAAGAGTTTGTACCAATCTCTTTTGCACAAACAATTC